TTTCCCTAATTTCCTCTATTATTCTAATTCATTATTCCTAATTGACAGACATGCCATCACACTAATAAAGTATTCATTTATATCTCCTAAATCATCATTAGATAGTGATGTAATATCAATATTCTTTTATTTATTTTCATCGTCCAAATCATTATCAATCTCTAAAAATCTGTTTTGTGTTATGTATTGATGCATTGTTTATCTTATTCCATTTGAAACAAATAATATGCTTACTATTCTTTGAAGTGTATTTTGTAATGTTTGAATGTTGTGGATTAAATAAGAGACTTCTCTTAGTTAGGGTCAATAAATTTACCCCTTAGGCAAACATACTTCTTGCTTCTACAAGCTCTCTTTGGATGAAGCAAATATAATTGTTAATAAAGATCTTTTGGTCAAGTCAAATCGATTTCCCCCGCTGACTAAACAAATTAAGGTTCATGATTTCTTGGGATAATGGGATCATGCGACTATCGCTGAATTTGTTAACATTTGCCCTATCATTTGTCTGCCTGGCTGTGGTATATCTTCCTCTATTCTCAAAATGACGTTGAATAAGCATATATTGTCTACTAAGTAAACTTAATTAAAAGTTTTCTCTCCTGTTTGAGAGTGATAATAAATCATAAGAGTTAGCGCTTATGAGAAATTCTAAATCATATTATAAATTATTCAAAATAAGGATGAAATATTTGGGTACCGTCCTATCCAATGCTTGATCTAAATTTTTGAATTTTTAACTCGAGAGTATTTCTTAAATGAGTCAGACATGAATTTTCAAAGGTCACATTCATCTCTATCACAATTTCAACTATCACCACCATGATTTTTTTGTATCTAAGCTGCAACCACTAGAAATAATCCTCTTTGTAGTTGTAACCACTTTCCTTTTTTTTCGGTAGCTACAACTTTTGCATTGCCAGAGCTCTCTCTTATAACTACGAGTGATAATTAACTATAATGGTTTACGACTATTGGAAACCTAAAATCATATCATAAAGTCTTCATAACAGTGTCATTTCTGGGTAGTATCATGTCTGCTCTCTAATCTAACATTTGAAAATTTAACTTGAACCTATATTTTCAAAAGAGTTATGCTCAAAATTTCAAAGGCCACGACCATCATTATTGCTGTTTCATACATCACCTCCTGATTCTTTCCATTCCTAAGCTACAACCACTAATATCACCCCTTTTTATAGTTGAAAAAACTTTATTTTTCCTTTGTAACCATTGCTTTTGCATTGCTTCTTTATATTGTGCCTTTGTACTTCTCCTATCTCTCCTTTCTTATAAAAGTTTAAAATTCTAGGTTTTTTGGGCAATGGGGTTGATCTAACTTGACCAGTTTCAATGGAAAACTTGTCTAGGGTATTTTGATTGAAATATATGACAGGCTTGGCTGTATTTTAGCTTGTACGGCTGTGTTGGAACTAACCCGAACATGGTTCTAATGCATGAGCACTTCCAAACAAATCCATTTTGTTTGGTCGGAATAAGTTTCTTCATTTCATGTGGATCCTAACTCACACTTCTTAAATATTTATACATCACATGCTCTCTTTGAAGGAATGCTCTAGATTTAAAGGCATGACCTCTTTATCCTGGTTGCGCTCTTCTATTTGTCTAGTTTGACAATCAATTTATTGTTTTACTGAAGTCCTTTAAAAGTATTTCAGTTGGCACATTTCTGGTCAATTCTTGCTTGAAGTGCTGCCTATTCCTTTAATATCCCGCTTATTTTTTTTATTAATGATCTTTATAGCAATATAAAAATTGTCTTAGTAAAAATTTTCTCTTAGATCAAATCAAATGCTGTGAGGGCCCTTGGACATATATCGAGGTTTCTCAATTTCAACTGTTACTCTATGTCAAATGAAGTGCTCAAGATTTCCAAGGAGTCATGCCATTCTGCTAAAAACCCCGATTTGCCTAAGAATGGCTTCTGCAAGGAAAAAAATTCACCGGTATTTAGAAGCAATGGTTCTAATAGTGCAAAGTATGGAGACCCTCAATTGCTTGAAAAAATGGTACAAGCTTTTCTTTCATGTGTGACAACTGGAAATGTAAAGGTCTAGCTCCCTCTCTTTGTACCGCTTTTGTAGGCCGTTAAAGCTATTTGCATAAGTTCCATTTATAATTTTTTAGTTTAATGACATGCAAAGTTTTTTAAGTATAAATGGTACTTCATATTGGCCCACAATGTTAGACATTTTTATTCTTTTCCTGAAGTCATTTTGTATTGCAAGTTTTTTTTGAGATTAAATTCTGTTTTACTTAAAGTTTCCTTTTGAAAAATTACATTTTTTTTTATTTGGCTCACATGATGCTCCATTTGACTTATTTTTGAATGCTGCAAATTCGTTAATCATGATTTTAATACCGGTCCTAATCCATGGCCACCTCTGATTTCAATGGAAAATTGTCGTTTGGTTGTCTGCTGTGATTGACTGTAGCTGCTGGGTGGAGGATCGAGATTAGTAAAGTTATGATATTTGTTTGTCCTTCTTCTTATGCACGTTTTTTTTTTTCACTTGCATGGATATGAACGGTATGCTCATTGGCTCATGCTCACAAAGGCTTCAAAAACCGAAGATAACTGGATTGATAAAGTTATCAAAAGTGGAAAGTTTTTAATATTTTATCTAGTAATGGGTTGCTGAAATGCTCTGCAGTCCATTGAAGCTGGAATGGTTTCCTCAACATCTTCTTGTGGGTTCACCTTTCTTCACTGTTTTGCTACTCAAGCTTGACATAATAATGCTCTAATGGCTAGAAAAAACTTGGCTCGTTCATCTTGTTGAAATCCTTATCCATACTTGCTTCACACGGAAACAGAGGTTCCTTGTGAACAAATGAATGCATTTTCTTCGCGTATGAACACATACATTAATTACATATGAAACAACTATGAGGCAATGCTCAATGCATAGGGATTATTGATGCCAGAGTTGTTACTTTGATAATTGTTTCTTAATCCAAGAGATTGTGCCATTCAAGACATGCTTATTAGACTTGAGAGGTTAATCTTCTTTTTTTACTCAATCCTGCAACACTTTGTACGGTACCTGTTCAATGGTCCATGCAGGCTCAATAGTTTTTAAACTACTATGATGTTTTTCCTTTTTCTGGTTTCATCTATCGTCAATAAAGATGGAATGAATTGTGAGATATAAAATAAAGTGACAAAAAAACATCTTTGATGTTCTTTTTGTCCAACAATCATTTATTGCTAACAACAAAAGAATGTCCCGGCCTTTGTAAAGGATTATCTTTCGACATGCGCCTACTTCCTTTGCAGCTCGGGGATTTGCACATAATTTATCTTAGTTTTGTTTTCTTGTTGGGATTCTATTTTGAGGTTTATCTTATGTTGTTAAGAGAGAGAAAGAGAGAAGGAAAAACTATTTGGGGCACTTCTGATATTTTCTAACATAAATATAGATTAAGGGAACCGTTTTTCCCCGGTAAATGGTATACTTCGACGATGCAAACATGTGATGAGAAGTTTAATCAATTCGTTTGACTAACTAAAGGTTGGACCTAGGCAAGGAGGTTCGCATAAAGAGAAAGATGTTTTACTCAACTACACAAACACTTGATTAGAAGACTTAACTCATTACTGTAACTTAAAGTTAATGCTAAGCAAGGAGCTTTGCATAAAGATGATGTAAATTACATGCAAAGCAGTAGGAGAATGGTGTTTTCAAATGTTCAATTTATATTGAAATATTTATACTTTTACTCAAAAATACTTATGCATATGAATTACAAAAGAAAACTAACTCAATAATAATTTAAAAGTGAATAGTATGGCATAATTGCTTGGCACAAAATAATTCTTACATAAAAATTATACTCGTTCCTAAGTAAAATCAATTGCTGATTAGATTTTTTCAATGATAATTGTTCAGCAATGAACTTAAGAGTCGGTACCCCAAATATAAAATGTTAGTAGAACATGTTCTTGCTTCAAAAACTCAATATGATAATATTATTGAACTCCAATGATTACAAATAAACTCTCATAATGAAAAAAAACAACATAAAAAATAGTAACAGAATCGTAAAGACACAACATATAGACTCCAATTAGGGCTACAATAGTGGGTGGGGATGTTGTCAGCAGCAGGGCAGCCTGCTAAGAGGTGTTGAAGATGGCTAGCGGCCTGCCAGAAGGAAGTTGGAGGAAAGGCAGCCTCTTGGGTTGTTTTCGAGACGACCGACAGCCTGGCAAAAGGGAGCTGGAGGAAGGCAGCCTATTGGGATGGTGTAGGGGACGGTGGACTGCGATCTGGAAGTGGTCGGCGGAGGTCAAGACAACCCCGGAAGCGTGGAAAACAACCTGGAAGACGTCGAACAACACGCAACAGAATGGACAACAACCTGAAAGGTGCAGAATGGGATGGCGAAAACAAGATGGCTGCTGGAGGTAGCAAGCAGCAGTAGGGAAGGTGATTGGGGTGGCCTGCGGGAGGCAGGGTTAATAGGTAGGTGGCTTGAAGGCCGGTGCGGTATCAAAGAAAATTGTTTACGACAGCCGGAAGCTGGGCCGGAGGGGCAGTTACGGAAGGATACATATCTCATCGTGGTCGAGCTACAGCCAGACACCACCTGGACACTTGGAAATAGTCACCACCTTGGATGAGTTACAGTCGGAGCATCTTCTCGACGTCGGATACAAACCCCAGATGAGAAGAACGCTTCAAAGGCAGCACTGAGAAAATTGCACTCATAAAAAAGCTATCCTAACCTTAGCAAATAACATCTATAACTATAAATGGGTTAGTAGATAGATTAGACAAGTAGAAGAATGGACAATAAAGAAAGGAGGGGTGATGTGAAAGGAAGAAATTTGAAATAAGAATAGAAGCGAAAGATGGTAGATAAAGTTGGGAATCAAATAGGAAAGGACCCGCGGTCACTGTTGCAACTACAGTACCACGTCCACAATAAGCTCCCACATCAGTTATGATATATGGATATTAAGTTAACAACCTAAAACATCTAATACAACAAAGTTCCCTTTTATTTAGATTAGTGAACATAACATGTGAATTAAAAATGTTTTTCATCTCTCACTCACACAACAGGTTTTGGAGAGGAATAATTGTCTTGATCATACTATTCACATGTTTGGTATATATATATAGAAAAAGCCCAAGGGCTAATATATTAAAACGGAAATGATACAAAATGTTTTATGAGAGGGCCTAAAAGAAAGCTCAACTCACACAATACAACACACAAAATCCAAATAAAGCAAATATACATAAAGATAAAAAACCAAAAAACCTCCAAAGGGCGTAAAAGTGCTAGGGTCGTCCCACTTTAGTCCTCCCTCTATCTCTAGTTCTCGGAATTGAGCCGACTAACAAATTAGTAATGTGAGTGTCATTGCTCGAGGTAACCAAAGTATCATCTTTCAGATTCCTGAGCTCAAGTAGGTCTCCATTCTTCTTCTTCCACCTGTATGTGTAGACCTGTCATTCCTCATCCGATGATTGACTCATCTGATTAATTGATTGTTCCAAAGTTGGCTGGACAAATGTAGACAGTTGCATAACATGATCCCCAGGAACCTGAGTAATATTTACAGTTTGCTTGACTTGATGAGGCGGTAGTGAAACAATAGAAGTACTTTCATCTGTAATAACAGTGATATGTTCTAGGGCAAGTGCGTTTGAAAAATCTCTCTCTCACCCACGATAAGAGGTTCCAGAGATGGCTTAATGGTTGTCATATTATCTGCGAGAATAGTGACGTCTTCGGAGGTGAAATGCACAGTGCTCATTTTGATGATCAATAGTGTCAATAACTTGGAGCTGATCAGGAGGAGATGAAATCACTGCCTCTGGCGGAACACTGTGCGTTTTTGATCTGAGGTGTGGATGTAGATGGTGACATTGAGAACTGGAGTGACTGAACATATGAAAGTTTGAATAATACGAATGAAAATGCTCAATCACTACCTTTTGCCAATACCCATGATGCTGTGTGCCCAAACAAATTTTCTCAGAATCAGATAAAGTGATGTCTCTTTCAACAAGTAATCTGAATTTCGATGGACGAGAAATATTAAAAGTAGGAATGTCCTTTTTGAGTGGCTTACCATAAACTAAGGCAATAGCGTACAAAACTTTTTGAGTAAAATAATGAAAATAATGAAATTTCAGACCAAATGAAATTTCAGACCAAGGAGGCGAATCCAAACCGGAATGATCGGAGGTTCCGTCTAGGGGTCAAAATCCACAGATCATTTCAGAATTTTCATTGCTCTGTTATCAATCCAGATTATCCTTCTAGCAAATAAACGCGTATAATCCTCTTCATTATTAATTTGTATGAGAACGTGTCTTCTATCTAACCGTTCAATTTTTCACTAATCAATCAGGTGCATAAGCTCAAATTCCTTACGAATCAGCTTCATTTTGGAATGACCATATAAAAATTTTCCGACCAAATTCAGTCGATAGGAGGAAGCAAGTTGAATTCTTTCAGCTCTGTAAAAAAGATGACTGACTTTCCATTCTTCGTATTAGATTTTTTGATATCCTTGTCCCACTCAAACGGGGGAAAGAACACGATTTAGGTGTACCTGAGGCGTGGACACCCGCAAGGGTAGCAACATACGATCTATCTGAAGCCATCCTCAATAGATGGAGTTGCGGCATTAAGAACAGTGAAGAAAGAAAAGAAGAGAGCAATGTCCGAATCCAGAAAACAAGGAGCAGGAGCGAAAACCCCTTTGAAGAAGCCTTGCGAATTTAACTCGAGCATAATGATGCCCTTCATCTTGCAGCAAACAGACGAGGAGCGGAAACCCCTTTGAAGAAGCCCTCGAAATTAGATCAAACAAAACGATGCCCTATAGCCTGCAGCGAACAGGACGCTGCCCGCAAAAATCGCAGAAGCGGACGACGAGGACCCTTGCGAAATCAGCTTGAGCAGAAAGAGGCAGACGACGCGAGAAGCTGACAATGAAGGTGAAGCAGAGACGTGAGAGATATCGAAGCAGCAGAAGCTAGGGTTTGCCATGTGGCGAAACCCTAGCAGAGCGGAGACGAAGGTG